GGGCGGCGGGCGGCAGGAGCGGCGTCGGGGGCGGCCCGGCAGGGAAGGGGGCGAATGTGTGTTGGTGCTGGTGTGTGTGCTGGTGTGTGTGTTGGTGCTGGTGGAACTCCGCCCGCAGCAGAGCTCCCGGGCCCAGGGGGGCGCTCTGGACCAGAAAACGCGCGTTCAGCTCTTGCCTGAGCAGCTCGTGATCTACAAGAGAAAAAGAGAGAGACAGAGAGGCACGTCGGCCACGGGCTCCCGGCGGGGCGAGGCGGATAGTCACCTGCTGGCACTCCCGGTTTCGGCAGGCCAAGCCGTGGTGGCCGCTCGCTACGTGCGGGCCCCAGGGTGGAGGTAAGAGAGGTGCCTGTGACCAAGTACCAATCAGAATCCCCGAATGAGGCTGGCAATACATGATTGGCTGGCTGAATGAGATCAACAGGCTGGCATCTAAAGGCAAGAGAGAACACCGTGAGCCACCCTGGGAGCCCCCGGAGACAGCCCTGAAGGAGAGCCCTGCCCGTCCCAGCACCCCCAGACCAGTGTCCTGGTCCCATCCTGGGGCACTGAGCTGCCCCAACCCAAGCTAGGCCGACAAGATTTTAGAAAAAAAATTGGAGACCCACAGAGAAATCCTTAGTGACCTAAGATTTGGCCGTGAGGGAGCCCCTGCTGGAATCGGGCAGGGAGGGAGAGGCCAGGCTGGGCCAGGCCAGCTGCTGTTCACCTGGGGCCCCTCTCCACCATTCAACCCTCCGCCCCTCCCCCACCCGCCCAGCAGCCCAGGGACGGTGGGTGGGAAGAGCCACGGCAGGCCCTGGGAGCCTTCACTGGGAGCCTTCACTGCCATGACCACGGAGCAGCTCCAGGTTTCACCAACCCTCTGCCTCAGACTGCCCGACCAGGCCTGGCAAGGGCTCAGAATGGAGCAAGGGATGTCTGTGTCCCGGTACGCGTGTGTGAGCACCTGTATCTGTGTGTGTGTGTGTGTGTGTGTGTGTGTGCGCGCGCGCGCGCGCGCGCGCACACACACAACCGAGGCCCTGGCAGGATGCTTCCTCTGCCCTGGGCAAGGTGGCCTGCTAGCGCTATGGGCTGCTGGGGGGCTGCCATCCAGCTGGGTGGGGGCTGGGCCCCTCCCCAGGGGCCGCGGCCCTCCCCCCGGGGATTAGGGATCCCAGAGTGGAGGGGAACAGTGACCCTGCTGCCCCACCAGCGGCGCCCGGACCTACCGGCGGGGTGTCCTGGGATGACCAGGCTGTTGGCCGGCAGCGCCGGGGGCGGGGGCAGTGTCGGGGGCGCGGCGAACATGGCCGCCGCGTGGTGCTGGTGCTGGGCCTGCGAGCGGAGCGCCAAGTGTGAGGTAGAGAGGTGGGGGCCCGGCCCGTGAGGCGACAGGGACGCGTGCTTCGCGAGCCCCAGGCTGGCGCCGCTGCTGGCGCTGCTGCTCCTGCTGCAGGGAGGGGCGCTCAGTGCCCGGCCGGCGGCGCGCCCCGCGCCCACCTGCGGCTGCGCGGGCCCCGCCCCGCGCCCACCTGCGGCTGCGCGGGCCCCGCCCCACGCCCACCTGAGGCTGTGCAGGCCGTTGTGCGCTGCCGCGCCGGGGCCCGGGAAGGCGCCCGGGGGGAGAGGCACGTGCGTCGGGAAGGAGGCCCGGGTCTGCAGGGGCGCGGGCGGCGGCTGCGGCGTGAGGCGGGTCAGGCCCGGGGCTTCCTTCTTGACGGGTGGGCTGGACGGGGCGCCGGGCGCGGGGCCGGCGGAGGGCAGGACCGGCGCGGGGCTGCGCACAGGGGCCAGGAAGGGCGGCTCGGTGCTCAGCTCGCGGCTGCGCTCCAGGCCCGAGACTTTGAGCGCTGCCCCGGCCTTGGCCTCGGACTTCTCGCCCAGCGTGGGTCCTGCGGAGAGAGGGGCCGGAGTGAGCCCGGGTCCCGGCTCACTGAATGCCCTCCAGGACTGTTTCCCACAGGGCGACGCGCGGCGCGGAGCTCCCGCCCACAACACCTCGGTACCCCCGCCCCCCAGGCCACCTGCCCCGAGGGCCGACCCGCAGGGAGTGTCCTGCACCTCCTGCCCACGGAGATCCCAGCGCACGGGCTGTCCTGGCCCCATTTTACAGAGGGAGACAGAGGTGCACGAGGGAGCCGGGCCAGGCAGGGCGCTGGGCTCCCAGCTCATTCTGTCGCCCTTCCTTCCTCTGGCAGGAGCTTCACTTGTGCTAGCGGCTGCTCCGTGGGGACCCACCCAGTGACCCCTGGCCTAAGCCCTCTGTGGGCCCTTGCCCTGGGGGAGACTTCTGGATGACAAGCCTTGCCTGGTCTGTCGGGAGGAAGCTGCTGCGGGCCAACACTGCCCCCCTCCTCACCGCCCAGAGCCTCTGCTCCCCTCCGAGCTGCGGGCCTGCCCTTGGGCCGTGAGCTCCAGCCAGCCGGAGCCAGACGCCTGCTCACTTCAGACCCTCCTTTTGAAACTGCTACAAGGGAGGCCTCAGGTCACAGCGCCAGCGGCCAGGCGGAGGGCAGCACCACCCACGTGAGCCGCTTTGCTTGCACAGGGCAGCATCCCAGTCCCCAGGAGGAGTGGAAATTCAGGTCGCTGGGCTGTGGGCTGACCCCGCGGCTGCCACACTGAGTGAAGAGCTGGCCACAGCCTCCCCTGCGGCTGCAGGACAGTGTGACCCAGGCTGGCAGAGAGGTGAGAGGTCTGGAGCCTCTGGGAAGTCTCCTTCCCTAGGGCAACACCTCCCTCTGCCTTGGGTCTGTTTGCTTAGGGACACACCTACAGAGGAGGCCATTGCCACCACTCCTGCGACAAGGACAGGAAGAGAGGACCGCTGGCTTCAGCCCACTTGCTGCTCACAGCTGCCCAGGGACGCTAGCCCTTTGTCCCCTCCTGTCTCTCCTCGCACATCTCCACACGAGGCCCTCACAAAGTAACAGCAGCCATCAGAATGGAAAGAGGCAGGCGTGGGCCATGCAGACCTGGACGTGACCCCATGTGTGCCACGAGTGCCCCAGCCCTTCTGGAGACGCCTGGAACCTTCTAAGAGCCTCCACTGCCACTGGAAAAGCATGAGCACTGCTACTCATCACCGCCCCCCCGCACCCCCACCACTAGGCACCTCTCTGGGCACCTCAAAGCCCAGAGTTCCCTGAACTCTGCTGAATCATAACCTCCAAACCTGTGGCTGTGACCTTATTTGGAAAAAGGGTCTTTGCAGCCGTAATCAAGCTGAGAATCTCAAGATGAGATGAGCTTGGGATTGGGTGGGGGCCCTAAATCCAGTGACAGTGTCCTTGTAAGGGACAGAAGAAGACGCCTCGTGAAGACGGAGGCAGAGACGGGAGGGTACAGCCAGCAGCCCAGGGGTGCCCAGGTTTGCCGGCAATACCAGGAGCTGGAAGAGGCAGGAGGGACCCCTCCCCCGGAGCCTCTGGAGGGAGCGCAGCCCTGTGCACACGTGACTCCAGATTTCTGATCTCCAGAACCACGAGCAGGTGAACGTCTGTTGTTTCAAGCTGCGCGGTTTGTGGTCATTTGTTGAAACTGATACGCCCTACATTAATTCCGTGTGAAATGCCAGCTGAGCGTGCCTGGCTGCTCGGAGCCTCTGGTGGGCCACCTTACCCAGACTCCCCAGCAGGCGTCTGCTCGGCTGCAATGCTCTGACTTGAAGAAGGGGCTTCTCGAGTTCAAGGCACGTAGAGGAGGCCATGCCCGGCTACCAGGCCAGCAGGACCCACAGGGCTGCGGGTGCCCCAAGGCCTGTCCTGTGTGGTCACATCCTGAGGGAGCCCTCCAAGCAAAAGGGCCCCTTCTCTGTGCTGGGTCCAGTGGAACCCCCTTCCCGGCCACAGCCCAAAGCCGACAGGCCGGGTCACAAAGGCCTATCCTGGCCTTGATGGGGCCGTGGCCAGGCACCCACCCTCCAGAGCAGTGTCTGCAGAAGAGCTTTGCGGGACAGTGAAATGCTGGGTACCTGCGCCATGCCACTCGGGGGTCACTGGCCGGGGCCTGGGTGTGCTGGCGGGGCCGCATCCCGAGCCGGGAGCTGCTGGCCACCCCAGAGCCCCTGAGCCCAGGAGCCTGGGGAAGTGCATTCCTCATGGCCCCGAGCGGTGCAGGGACCCCACTTTGGGAACCGCCGCTCCAGCACTGCCCAGCTCTGGCCGAGACACTGGCCCCGTTCCCAGCTTCCCTTGTTTCCTTGTGGTTTTCCCAGGGGGCTGGCGGGCGGGCTGCATCCCTCAGTAAATGACAGCACCCAACTCCTGCCTGAGGCTCTGCACCTGAAACCCAAGACAGAGCCTAACTTGGGGCCCGCCACGGACTTCAGGAATGTGCCCTGTCCCTTCCTAGAGGCCAGGAGCCCAGGGACACACTTACCTTTATCGACTGCCGGGGCAAAGAGCTTCTCGGATCCCACAGACGCCTGGAAGAAAGAGAGGAGGGTCAGAGGCCAGACAGACCTACAGCGCTGGGGTGAAGCTGGCCCTCACCCCCTGCCCCCGGCACCCAGGAAACAGGTCTGGGCAGGTTCTGCGCACACAAGGGCCGCCCAGCCTGGCAGAATACATCCTTCTGTGCCCACAGCCCCCATGGAGGAGGGTGACCACGCCCAGGCCCAGCTGCAAGTACTTGGACACAGGTCATTTGGCCTGTGATCAGGGAACCAAGGATGCCCCACTCAGCAGGGATGCAGGGGCTCAGCGTGGCCCTGCTGGGTGGGGAGCTAGGACTTGGGAATCGGGGCACCAACCCGCGGAGCCGGCACCAGGAACCTGAGGGCTCCACTGGGCCTGGCACTGGAGGTGGCAGGGTGGGAGGAGCAGAGTTGGGATGCCCCCGCCCCCCAGCCCCAGGCTGTAGGACATCACCTGCCACACCCCAGACATGCTGCGTCACAGGTCTGGGGACCCCGGCCACCATGATGCACGGAGTATCCAGGTGGAGTGGGGTCAACCCACTTCAGGAGGGAACGTGGCAGTTTCTGATGGGCCCCTGGGCCGCTTGGCCTCTCCCCTCCTGGGGAGACCCCCCTGTGTGTGCAGGGCCTTGGGAAGGACAGGGAGGATGAGGGTGTGGCCCACCCGCTGGCTCAAGGCCGCAAGCCCGTAAGGCTGTTCTGAGCAGACCTTTTCTCCCTAGCTGGTGTTGTTTTCAAACAGTTTCGCTGAGATATGATTCACATACCACACAATACGCCCACTGGAGGCACACAGCTGTGAGCAACCATCACCTCAACCTGTTTTAGAACATTTTCAGCACCCCAAAAAGAAACCACATGCCCTTCAGCTATCACCCCAATCCTCGCACCTCCTGCCGCCCTGGGTACCACTACTCTGCTCCCAGTGTCTCCCGCTGCCCCCATCGTGGACTTCCTCGGGGAGAAAGCAGACAGTGCTTGCTGTTGGCGTGGGGTGACTGAGCACCAGAGGGCATGAGGCCTCCCCCCCGGACGGCCACTATCAAGAAAGACAGAAAGCAGCCGGGGCTGGCGAGGACAACGTGGGGAAACTGGAACCCTTGTGCGTTGCTGGTGGGAATGGAAAACGGTGCAGCCGCTGTGGAAAACAGTACGGAGGTTCCTCAAAAAATCAATCACAGAACTACCGTATGATGCGGCAATCCCACTTGTGAGCATCTGTCCAGAGAACTGAAAGCAGAAGCTCTGTCCACCCACGATCACAGCAGCATTATTCACAACAGCCAAAACGTGGAAGCAGGGACCTCCCTGGTTGGTCTAGTGGCTAAGACTCCGCGCTCCCCATGCAGAGGGCCTGGGTTCGACCCCTGGTCAGGGAACTAGATTCCACATGCCAGCAACTAAGAGCCCGCCTGCCGCAACTAAAAAGATCCCACACGTGGCAACGAAGATCCCGAGTGCCACGACTAAGACCCGGCGGGGCCAAATAAATAAATATTTTAAAAACCCCAAAAAACAAAAAAAAAAACAACAAACGTGGAAGCAACCCAAGTGTCCATAAACAGATGGCTGGATGAACAAAATGTGGTGTACACACACCATGAAATATTATTCAGCCTTAAAAAGGGAGGAAACTTTAACACAGGCTGCAACGTGGATGACCTTGAGGACACTAGGCTCAGTGAAGTAAGCCAGTCACAAAAGGACAAATCCTGTGTGGTTCCACTATATGAAGTCCCTAGAGCAGGCAAATCCATGGAGACAGAAAGCAGGCTGGTGGGTGCTAGGGGAGGGGAGGGGGCATTAGTGTTTGATGGGCACAGAGTTTCAGTCTGGCAAGATGAAGAAATTCTGGAGCTGGATGGTGGTGATGGTTGCACAACGATATGAATGTATTTAATGCCCCGAGCTGTACACTTAAAATGATTAAGATGGTAACTTTGTTATGTGTATCTCACCATGATAAATAAGAAACTTAAAGAAAAAAGCATGAAAGAGCTCTCTGGGGGTGATGAAAACATCCTCTGTCGGACGCTGGTGGGGGGTATGTAGTGGTATGTATTTGTCGAAACACACCAAACTGTACACTCAAAACAGGCGCATTTTGTTGCATGTAAATTATGGTGCAAGAAAGTCAATCATGAGATGGGGACTGAGGTGAGAACAGACTGACAGGTGGACAGAACAGAAACAAAGAGTCCCAGACAGTGACGCACACGGGAGGCCCAGCACAGGCAGGGCCCGGGTCTGTGGGAAAGGGCAGGAGCTCCTCGGACGGAGGCTCCCCGGGCCCGTGTCACTCCAGGCCTGCTGACGGGCAACGTGCAGAGCGAACTGTGAACAGACCGCTCGCTGTGCCCCTTACACTCGTGCTGGGCTGGGGCCTCCTGCCTAACCACGCCCCGAAACCCCGCACTGGGAAGAAAACAGGTGGCAAACGCAGCCCGAAAACACAGGCCCACGCTCCCCGGGCTGGACTCGGACCCACACCAGAGGGCAGTCTGCTAACCAGCGGCGCCAGGCTGGCGGGAGTCCCCAGCGGAGGGTCCCCCCGCCCAGGGGAGCAGGGAGCTGAGGCCA